TTCCTTCCTATTATTTAGCATTTCCCCATGTCTTGCTATTGCTGCTGTGGTTTGAGGGTATCTTCTGCAGGATTCCAATCCTTGTCGATTTGGGGCGTGGTAAATAGAGCGTTTATGCTTGAAGGACTTGTGTGTTCTGCTGGATGTAGTTCTTCCTCCTGTCCTGTCTTCCAGATGACCTTGACTGTGCAGGGATTTTCTACCTCAGCTGGGACTGTAGTCACAAGGTGCAAGCTGGGTACAGCTTCTCTGCTCTATAAATTGGCCGGTTTTTTGCTGTTCAGGTTTTATATATCATTACAATGCCTTCTCTGCCAAATACCAGAAAGTCTTTGTGAATTTGTTTATTGTTTCAATTTGTCATTTTTGCTCCCTGTATCCTGAAGCCACATTAAGCCCTGTTACACATCTGTAATTTTGTATCATAATCAACTGACCTTGTCATTATGACATGTCTTTCTTAAATATGAAGAGATTCCTTTCCTTGAGGATCGCTCAGTGGTTAAGATCGATTTCCCAGCACTCACATCTGCTGTAACTCCAGCTCCAGAGGACCTGATGTTCTCTTCTGGACTCTTTAGGTATCCACATACACCACTCCCACCCCCACACACATGCAGATATATATGCATACAGACACATACACATGCAGACACACACACATACACACACACATACATATGCATACAGACACATACACATGCAGACACACACACACATACACATACATATGCATACAGATACATACACACGCAGACACACACACACATACACATACCTATGCATGCAGACATACACATGCAGACACACACACACACACACACACACACACACACACACACACACAAGATTGAAATCAAGACTCCTTCTTGTGGAGCTTGCCATGTGATGTGCTGTAGTCATCTTCCTTATGACTGGAGTTTACAAGTCCTGCCTCCCTCCCTCCCATCCTTCTTTTCCCCTTGAAAGGCTCAATGGGGCCTCACACTGTTGGCAAGCCCATTTTCTTTTTTTCTTTTTTTACTTATAACCCACTTTATCTGTATATTTGAAGGGTCTCTGGAGGTTTGGTTTTCTTCCCCCATGTATTTAGGATCCTTGTTGTCTTTGACTGTGGATTAAAACATTTAAAATTTATTTTTAGAACATCTTAGTCTTGTTATATTTCTATAATCTCTCATTTTTAAACACTTCCCTCCATTTTTAAATACCAAATTTATGATAATTACCTTGAGTAGAATGTGTATTTCTTTTAGTATATGCTTTTTTTTTTGTGAGACAATTCTATTTCTAATAATAATTATGTGTTAGCCACTTATGGTGGCCCATCAGAGAAAGATAGAAAAGCCATCTAGGAACTGGAGGTGGCGGTGTACGCCTTTAGTACCAGGACTCCGGAGGCCAAGGTAGGTAGGTCATTTGAGTTCCAGGACAGCCAGGGATACCTGTCTCAAACACACACACACACACACACACACACACACACACACACACACACACACACGCGCGCGCGCGACCCTAATAGATGTTTATGATAATAATTTCTGGAAGGAAGAAAAGCATAAAGATATAGATTGAAATCACCTAGAATGCTCATTCTACATAAATCAGTTCTGTTTCTTTTTTTTTTTTTTTAACAGGAAGGGTCTCACTCTAGAGCTTGCTAGGTCAGCCTGGCCTTGAACTTGAAATCTGTGCCTGCCTCTGCCTCAGAGTACTGGAATTAAAGGCATGTTCCACCACGGTACCTGGTTTCCTTTCACAGAAATTTGAACATGTAGTTACCATTTTTCTGAATGCTTATTTCTGAAATGTTAAGCTCTTACAACAGTGGTTATTGTGGTGCAAGTCACAGTATTGAACTTACCATCAGCGCAGCGCATGCAGTGGCATCAGCCTGTGAGCTGTAAAATATTTGTTAGTGTATTATTTTTACGTATGTGTGTGTATGTGTACCTGCAAGAGTTTGTTTGTGTACCACGTGTGTGCGGTTGCCCGTGGAAGGTGGAAGAGGGCACCAGGTCCCCTGGAGCTGGAGCTGCAGACTTTGGGAGCCACCTGATGGAGTGCGGGGAGCTGAACCCGGCCCCTGCAGAGCAGCCGGCTGTCTCCTGCCCCAGCCTGAGACTCTGGGGTGTTTGCGAACCCCATACCCGCCCAACACTTGCCTGTCCTTGCTGCTAGCCTTTGTCAGCCGCCATTCCGCTTTCTAAGGACGTGAGCGTGTCAGGCGCTTCACGTGAGTGGAATCCAGAAGTACTTGGCTTATATCTCAGGTTGGAAGGCTCCGAGGTATTTGTTACAGCAGCTGCAGCTGACTCGTCCCCTCCGAGCCCCGCGGCTTTGAAACAGGTCTTAGGTGTCAGTTCCGGTGCAGCTGACTCACCAGAGGATGGCTCTCAGCTACTGTTTTACTCTGTCTGCCCCTTGTAGGCCCCTGCCTCAGAGATGGAGCCTCACATGTTCCTGCCCCTTACCTAGGTACACTTGATTGTTGCTGGTCTGGGACTCAGAGCTGGGCTTAAAGGCATGTACCATCATGCCTGTCCCTTTCCCTTTTATTATTATTATTAGTAGTATTAGTATTAGTATTAGTATTAGTATTGTGACAGGGTTTCTCTGTGTAGTTTTGGTGCCTGTCCTGGATCTCGCTCTGTAGACCAGGCTGGCCTCAAACTCGCAGAGATCCGCCTGGCTCTGCCTCCCGAGTGCTGGGATTAAAGGTGTTCTTGTTCTTGTTTTTTGGAGACCTTTGTAACCCTGGCTGCCCTGGAACCTGCTATATAGACCAGGCTGGCTTAGAACTCAGAGATCCGCCTGCCTCTGCCTCCCGAGTGCTGGGACTAAAGGAGTGCGCCACCACATCTGACTTCCCTTGTGTTTTGAGACAGGGTCTTGATCAGTTACTCCAGCTGGCCTTGAACTTGTGGCCGTCCTTCCTCAGCCTTCCTTGGTATCCCGCTAGCTGCTGGCCTCTCTTAAAGTTCATTTTGCTCTTTTCTTCTATGATAATTTGATTTACCCTCCCAGAACATTCCCATCTCGTGTGCTGTGTTTTTTCGGTTCTGGAATTTCCTTGGCTTCTCTTAGTCTCTGCACTTTTCTCCAGTTTCTGTAGCATACACGGGATTTTGTTGAACATACTTGCTTCCTAATTATAATCATGTGGCCGTCTTGCGTCAGCATCTGTTGACTGCACTGTTCTTCCCCTTCTTCGGTATGCCTCGTAATTTGCTATCGAACACAGGGCATCCTGCTTACAGAACACGGGAAAGCAGAGTGAACAGTTTTGCTTTTTCCTCTGGAGGGCCTGTCTCCTCTTCACAGAGCTCAGGAGGACCATGCTGCATCTTAGTTAATGGCTGTTGTCTGTTTTGTCCTAGCAGCGTGGAGCTTGCTGGTTGGGATGTGGCTTTGGTCTCAGATGCCACAGTTCAGTTGGCTTTATTCACCTGGGACTGGGATTATGAAAACTTAGTTATTCTGTAGGACCCAGTGGTTTGTTCCAGTGGTTATATAGTCTTGGATCCAGTCCGCTCCTCCACACAGCTGGTATAGTTGCCTGATTGGTGCTTGTAAACAAAAACGTGTCTGGGAAGCTCCCAGTTGTGTAGACCTGCCGTGAGAGGCCGGGGGGGGGGGGGGGGGGGGGGGGCAGCTGTGATGCTACTCTCCTGGCTGTTAATGCCTCGGTTTTTCCCTGTGAGATTCAACTCTGGTGTCTGTGCAGATGCCGATCTTCTTGGCTACAGGAGTAGAGGGCTTGCTCGCCCTAAATTCCCGTCTTCAGAAACAGGTTGCTCTCCAGCCGTTTTCAGTTACTTTAGACTAATCCTGTAGTACTCGAATCTTCTCAAGAGCTGAGTTTTCCCTTGGACCTTACTCTCTCCTTCCTTCTGGTGTTTAGATCTTAGACTTCTGCTTTGTCTTTAAATTATACATTTTTGCCAGCAGAGTGTGAAGGCACACTCCTTTAATCCCATCACTCGGGAGGCAGAGGCAGGAAGATCTGAGTCCAAGGCCAGCCTGGTCTACAGAGTGAGTTCCAGGACAGCCAGGGCTGTTTCACAGAGAAATCTTATCTTGAAAAACCCCGCAAAAAAGCAAACATCAACAACAACAACAAAAAAGTTCATGTCAAGTGCCAAAAAGAAGCATAGATACAAGTGGAGTATCTTATAAAGTTCTAAGTAGAATTTTGTCCCAATTGTCATGGTTCTGTGAAATCCCAACAGATAGATTTAAAATTTCAATACGTAATGAGTGCTGTTACTTACATTGTGCCAATGTTGGTGTGCATATGGTGACTTGGAAAAAGACTCTTGTGTTGCATGGACAAATTATAGAAAGGCATTCTTTTTTTTTGGGGGGGGGGTGGTTTTTTGAGACAGTGTTTCTCTGTGTAGCTTTGGAGCCTGTCCTGGCACTCACTTAGTAGCCCAGGCTGGCCTTGAACTCACCTGCCTCTGCCTCCCAAGTGCTGGGATTAAAGGCGTGCGCCACCACCGCCTGGCTAGAAAGGCATTCTTGACCGCTCCACTCTGGGACCTTGCACAGCTGTGCACAGTACATCTGAGCTGGGAAGATGAGAGAATTATAAAACATTGCCAAGTATGAAATTCGTATATGGCTACTGTAAACACACATTTTTTTCCTGTTTATAAAAATGAGCTGGATTTGTGTTACTGCTTTTGTTTTCTTTATTTAATCATAACATATCATAGAAAATCTATGACTGAGAAGTTTCTAGAAAATCCAGGGGCCCCTAAGAGACTCCCTGAGGGAGAAGAACTGAAGATAATAACGCTTAAGTGTGCACTGGTCTCTCTCGGTAGCAAGTACTGAAAACGTTAGTTGAATGTTAAAACTTCTGCAACAAGTAACAGTAAACCTTTACACTTAATGGCAGTGGTTGACCTGCCATTTCAGGAGCAGATGCTCCCTGCGCAGCAGGGTACCGTAAGCAGAGCACTGACCACCGCCTGGTCTCTGTTGTGCAGGCATACTCCAACACCCAGATGGCACAGTTCTGAAACAGCTACAGCCGCCGCCCCGGGGCCCGAGAGAGCTGGAATTTTATACTATGGTAAGTGACGCAGGGCACTCTGCTGTTTTACGGGCCCCTCAGTTCTCCGCTGTGACTCAGAGCCAGAAACGTGCTGGACAGCATGCCCCGGGTCCCCGAGTAACAGACGAGCTCCGTGCTTTGTGGAAACGGCTTATCCTCCCGGGTTTCTGCTGCCGCCTAGAATTTTCTGTTCTGTTCCACGTCCTAGAGATTCTTATTCTGAGTCACTAAATTGATTTCAATCAACTGGTCGTGACCCACAATTTTGAAAAACACTTAACAGAGAGTTTGCTGCTCTCAGAAATGCTAAGTTAGTGTTTTTATTACGGCTTCTTCGAGTCGTGTTTGTTTTGCCCTGTGAGGTGGGGTCACACTGTATATATATCACAGGCTGGCGGAGGACTCACAAGAGCCCCTGCCTCAGCCTTCCCAGTGCCCTGTGCCTCCATGCTCCGCCTCTTCCAGTCTTCAGTGTTCCTCTGCACTGTGGGAGAAGGGCTCATTCCTAATACCTCATTCATCATATGACCCAGAATGTTTTTCCAGTGTGTTCACAGTGTTCCGTGACCACCAGTTATTTCTTAACTTCAAAACGTTTTGAACCACATGGCTCGGCCAGCCACAGGTTCGCCTTTCCCCCCACACAGGCTTGCTGGCTTCTGTGTGTCCTCTCGGGTAATCTTGTTCAGACATTTCTCCCATCTTGCAGTTGAAGGGTCTGTGAAACGTTCAGCTACGTCCTTACAGTGTGGGTACAAGCCCTGATCGAGCACAGCCGCTTGTGGGTGTTCCCCGCCATTCTTTTCACCGCGTTGGTAGGGTCCTCGCAAACACACAAGGCCATGCATTTCGGTGAGGCCCAGCTTAGATCCGTGTTCCTCCGGTTGCTGTTTCGAGAAAGGGTCTTATTCTATAGCTTAGGAATTTACTCACTGCCGCCTCCCTCCCCGTCTCCCAAGCGCTTCTGTTACAGGTGTGCCCCACCACACCCAACCCTAATTGGTTCTGTTTGGGCTTGTATCGATTTTCCTGGCTCTGATAAGAGAGCACGGAAGGTGCCTCCACCCCACTGGGAGCCCCTTTCCCCTCTCTTGTCACCCACTGTTCTGCCCTGTGTTGTCTCTGACCCTCTGAAGGCGCTCTTCCACGCAGTCCTCGCCTAACACAGAGTGGGGGAGGTCAGGCGGTGTGCTCACTCGCTAGGGCCGCCATAACAAAGGAACACAAGTTGTTTGGCTTGAAATACACAAGCGAAGTGTTTCACACTTAGCCTCCTGGTCAGGCTGCAGTCAGGAGTTTCTTCTGAAGGCCTCCCTCCCTCTCCTGCTCACGGGCTGTCTCCTCAGATCTTCCCCTGTGGAGTTTGTGTCTTAATGTGCTTCCTGAGAACACCCTCAGCATGACGAACCCTGGTTTTAACCACGATGGTCATGCATGCCGTCTCCAGATGTGTTCACATCTGAGGCACTGGGGTTTGGGTCACACAGGTAAATTGTGGTGGCTCACAGCTCACCCTGTAAATGATCGACTCCCGAGAAGTGAAAATTTCTTTCCTTCATTCCTGAGAGCCTTGAAGATTGGGATTAGAGCGCTGTGTTCCAGTCTTCAGTTTAGCCTGTGCGTGACTATTGGTCATGAGTGGTGTGCGCACACTGCACAGATGAAACATGGTTTGCTCACTTAGTAGTCAGTGTTTCTCAGTCAATTTCTGGTAGAAAGATGATAATTTATTTCCTTTCCCCTTTCTCTTAGATATGAGGTTCAGCTTCTGGTAACTGAAATTCTATCTTATACATTTCTTAAAAGTTTATTGTAGTTTCATTTTAACCTGTGTGGTGTGTACGCTCGTAAAATCATGTGTCGTTTAGACATATATTAAAGCTGGCCCTCAGAGTTTAAAATGAATAAAACTTGTTTCATAGATTATAAAATAGATAATATGCAAGTTATTTAATTTAGTGAGAAAACCAGGCAAGTGTTACAGATGGTTCAAGGGGGCTGGTAAAATGGTTCAGCCAGTAACGAGCTTGCCTCCAAGCCTGATAACCTGAATTTGCTTGGGCACTACATGGTGGAAGGAAAGAATTGATGTCCTTAAGTTGTCCACTACACACACACACACACACACACACACACACACACACACACACACACACATTAAATGAACGAATGTAAAAATTACATATAGAACCAGGTGGTGGTGGCGCATGCCTTTAATCCCAGCACTCGGGAGGCAGAGCCAGGTGGGCCTCTGTGAGTTCGAGGCCAGCCTGGTTTACAGGGTTGAGATCCAGGACAGGCATCGAAACTACACAGAGAAACCCTGTCTCAATTTGAAAAAAATACAAATAAAAATGGCACAAAAAGTTAGCCTAGCTGCTCCCCACCCACCAGAATTTACTTGCCTGTGTCCTGAGAATTACTTTGAATTTGGGGTCAGTTGTGTACAACTCACATTAGTGGCCGATAGTTGAAAGACATTGACAGGCAGGACTTATCACCAGAGAGTCTTCTCCATGGATCACCAGGACCACCGGTGTGCTGTAAGTAGCTGGTTATTATTACAGAGCCATGTCAGATGAGTTACTGATCTGTTATGCGTGGTCCCCACCCCCACCCCGAGGGGTCACGGAACCCTGACGAGCGCTGCCCCTCTGTTCAGGTTTACGCTGCTGACTGTGCTGATGCTGATCTCCTGGAGCTTCGAAAACACCTGCCCAAGTACTACGGCGTCTGGTCCCCTCCCACCGCACCAAACGGTAATGCATTTTACGTACCTCTCTCGGTTCAGTTCCCAAGCTTGCCTTTACGAGGGTCCGTGTAAAAGGCTGTAAAACATGGAATGAATGTGCTTTCCTTTCCTCCCTTCACTAAACAAAACTCACTGGTACTTTCACTTTTTTTAATCACCATTTTCTTGAATGACTTGTTACACATGAACGGATAAATCTGTTACAATTGCATGAGTGCATCTTAGTACTGCACTAATTTACAGATGTTTGTTTCTTATCTAAGAATAAAACAGTAAGGACCCTCACAGAAGTCCCTCCCCAGCTTAGCTGTCTCCCACCGTACTCCCAACCTGCAGGCTTTTGGGAAACCCTGGGAAGTGCCACAGAGGAGAAATGAGATCTTGTGCATCCGTCTTGGAGTCTGGTGACTGGTTCAGTTAATCAAAGCTGCAGGCTTTGCTGATGTGGGTCTTGTAACATTGTAACACTTTTTGAGCTTTGGTTCCTAACTTAGTGTGTCAGATGTCACTCCTGGGCTGTCTTGGACTCCTCTCTAGGGGAATTCCTAGCTGAATAGTGGTCATTCTAGGGCCATGTGGGGTATTTAAGAAGCACTTGTACTTTATAGTTTAGAGAAAGCTGAGGCCCTGTGGTCTTCAGGGTGAGTGCCGCTTACTGAAATGCTCAGGACTAGAAGTGTTTCCAGTCTGGGAATATTTGCGTAGACAGAGGTGTCTTGGTGATAGTCCCCAGGCCCAGCCTTTTGTGGAAACTGAAGGCAGTTTTGATGGCATTTGTGCTGTGCCGAGTTTAGACTCTAATCTAACCTGTGAGGCCAGCGTGGAATTTTCCATTTGTGGCACTGTGTTGGTGCTCACAAACTTTCAGAGTGTGGCCCAGATTGGATCTCAGATGTTTGGATTAGCAACGTTGGATTCATTCAGCCCATCTTTTTTTCTGTCTGTCTGTCTTGCTCTCTGGCTGAAAGGTCTTAGTCCCAAATATATGCAGATGTTTATGATTGAGAATAGATAGCATTCTGAGCAACTGCTCCACAGACCATTGTAGCTGTCCTTGGGTCTTTTTTTTTTTTTTTTTTTTTTTTTTTTTTTTTTTTTTTTTTTTTCGAAACTAGGTCTCACTATGTAGTCCTGGTTGACCTGCCTCTGCTGCCTGGATGCTGAGATTAAAGGTGTACGCCGCCACACCCACAGGTCCTCATTCTCCATATTCTGCCCGACACGTGGTTGTAAACACACTTTGCGTTGTAGCGTCTTCCCTTCCCCCTTTTGCTGTGAGTGGCACTTGTCAGAAGTGCCATTCATGAGACCAGGGGAGGAAGCTTGCTTATCCGGGTCCCAGTGAGCCGTGCTGACAGCTGCGGCTTGACACAGAACAGTCTGTGCTGAGGACAGTGTGGGTAGAGGTCTGGGTAATGAGATACTCGGCTGAACAAGGTTCTTGGAAAGGTCTGGAGAGATAGCTCAGAGGTTAAGAGCACTGGCTATTCTTGGATTCAGTTCCCAGCACCCAGGTGGCTCATAACGATCTATAACTCCAGGGGATCTGATACCTCTTCTGGCTTTGCAGGCATTTGCATACACCTGGTGTCTATACATACATGCAGATAAAAAAAACAGTCATGTACATAGAATAAAAAGAAATTTTTAAAAAGAAAATATTTTTTGAGAAGATTCTTTGGAGAACTGGGCATGATAGTTATGACTTAGATGAACATAAACATGTGTAATATGTATATATAATCAGCACTTTTCTTTTTCTTTAAGACAGGGACTTTCTACATAGCTCTGGCTATCTAGGAATTCACTCTGCAGACAAGGCAGCCTGGAACTCAGAGAGAGATCCACCTGCCTCTGCCTCCAGAGTGCTGGGATTAAAGGTGTTCCCCGCCATGCCTGGCCATTTCCTTTTTTGCCATCGTCTCTATGCTATGGATATAGCATATTAGAAAGGAAATACAGCATCAGAAAAGCAGTTCTCACATCTGGTGCAGCATTTTATTTTATTTTTTTTCTTTTCTGTTTACGGTTGAAGCTGATCCCTAAGACTTTCTTTAGCAGGAGCGAAGTCGGGAGGCACTGGTGTAGTTGGCAGCAGGGTGAGCAGGTGTGTCTGTGTGGGAACGGAGGAAACTGGGAAAGTACATCGTGACGGCCGAGCACCTGCAAGGGCCTGCATGAGCCTGGCGATCAGATTGCATTTTGCTGCCTTAGCTCTTTTCAGCCTGAGATAAAAATCAATATGTAATAAATAGATGTTCTTGTTAATGTTTAACTGTGGGCCAAGGCTTAGGATTAGCTTCAGGGTGGAGGGTATCTGTTATCAAGTGCCTGATTGAGTTGTGATTATGCCTCTTTATTTTGTGGTTATTACATTGTATTTGCCTTACTGGGAACGGAAAAAGTTTGCTCCAGGGAATCAGCCCGCATTTGTATTTATTCTGGACGCTGTAGCACGCATGGTGACCTAGCATGGGTTTTAATACCTGTCAGTCATGCTCATGTTTAATACTTAATGTATCCTTGCAGTCCAATCCCAGTGCTCCGTGAGTACCAGGTGGCACCAGGCACTGTTTGGATAAAGTGTTACCTCTCTTCCTCAGGATCAGCTCTGGAAGGCAAGGCTTAAATGCTGTTGCCTGTCTGTCTCAGAGCAGTGCCTTGCCATGGGAGGCACTTTCGGAACTGTATTGACACATCCTTAGCACTCTGGACCATGATGCCTCTATTTCATGGTGGGCCCGCGCTGGACTCTCCAATCTTATATGCCATTCAGGTACCGGGACATGCTAGGCTAACACGTGGTAGAGCTGACATTTGTTTCTGCACATGACCTTAGCCCTTCCTCTCCCTCTTGGTTCCCACCAAAGGGATCACTCACTTCTCACAGAGGGAATTACGTGTTGTGGCATGAGCTGAAGAAGATCCAGAGAACTGTCCCAAGCAGGCTACCTCTGAAATCTCAGTTCCAAGCTGTGTCAGATGTTTGCCTGTTGTGGTGACTGTGGTTTGGGGGCTGGGCTCGCAACTGTGACAGGAGCACTTTTGAGGTCTGCCCCATGACACACAGTAACGTTTGAGACACACCTCAGCTGGAAACCAGCCCCACATCCTTACTTCCTGTATGTCAGGAATCTCTTCCTCTTTCCTCTCAGTGCGCAGCTGCAGCTGACCCACGGTAAAACAGCGCTCCACTCGGGACCCAGAGGGGCCTCCATGAGGAGACATCTTTTGTTACTGGTTTGCAGTGGCCTCAGAAGACAGTCCTGTAGACATACCTTTGCTCCTTACATAACCGAGTTCAAGACTGACCTACTTTGACTTGAGCTTTATTCTACTTACACCACTGAAAGAATTTGCCGGTAACATCTTTTCAAAGTGAACCAGTATTCAGGTTTACAGACAAGACAACCGTCAGCCTCACAGGCTGGCACTCGGGTTGTGGCCCGCTTTCTTGTTTCTCTCTTTCAAAAGCTTGTGTTAAGCCGTTCGCTCCACAGCACCAGTTCTCTCCCAAGAACATTCGTGTTCCTTTCTTTTTGTGTGTTCTGGGACAAGGGCTGGCAGTGTACCCAGGGCTGGCCTGATAGCCACGATGCCCCGGCTGGTCTTTAATCTACAGTGCTTCAGTCTCCTGAGTTTTGAGATGACAGGCATGTATCCCCCATCCCCAGAGGCCTAGAACTCTGCATGCCTAAAGCAGGTTTTGATGTTTAGTTTTTACAGCTTTGAAGAAAAGGTACAAATGAAAATCCACATTTGACACATAGCAAACAGCCTTCCATTGAGATGTGTGCAGGCCTCCCGACTGACAGTACACACTTACACCAATCCTTACCTCAGTATGACTCTGTGATGTCATCTCCAAGTTAATGACGATGTGGCTGTGATGCTGGGTATCTCCCCTGTGAAGGCCCTTCGTCTTCACTAGACTTGAGATGTGAGCCTTGTCATTGACACTCATCAACACTGCAGTAAGGGGAAGCTATCCTCTCCCAGATTCCCCATCCTGGAGTTGGCTTTCCAAACACAGAAACTTGGCTGTGTCCAGCTGAGGCTTGTCCACTTGTCCTTTGCTGTTTGGGCCTGTGCTGTGGCCTGGGCCTGTTGTCGAGGTGCCTGGGCGGCTTGTTTCAGGTTCAGGTTCCTAGACTGCTTGACTGCTCTTCCGGGCTGCTGTCCCGTTGACACAGTGCTAACCTGCCTGCCCTGCTTGATCAAGGGATACCATTTACCTCTTTACCCTCATCCTCTGCAGAAGGTTTATCCCTGTTAAGTCTGAGTTCTCATTTGGTTCCACACAAATATCTTTGTCATAATTTCAAAACTGTGCCAGCCTGGGTGGGACAGGAAAGAGGGACATTAGTTAGTAGTGCACAGGGCTTCTCTTACTCTGGTGCCCTTTACCTGGTTTAGAGGAAACATAAACTTTCTCCAACTCTACTATGTGTGTGCACACATACATTTTGCATGCATGCACATGTATGAGCCATGGCACACATGTAGCAATCAGAGGACAACCTTGGGCATTGGCTGTCACCTTCCACCTTGTTTAGGACAGGATCCCCTATGGGCTGCTGCCTACGCCAGAGGCAAGTTCCCCGGGACCTTACCTCTGCCTCCCATCTCTCTGTAGGAGGGAGGGCTTGGTGCAGGTTATTTGTCCAGCTTTACGTGGGTTCTGGGGAGGCTAACTCACTTCACTCCCGGTGCTTGTACGTGCTGTACCCACTCATCCATCTCAGCCCCGAGAACGAAAACATGAATCGTGATTTCATTGAGAATTTTGACAGGATGGTTTTCCTTAGGAAGAGGGAGAATTATTTCTTCTCTCCTTTCTCCCTTTGCTCTCGGGTCCTTGCTTTCAAGGTAAACTGCAGGAAGGGGCTTTTGTGGTGTGACAGCCAGTCTTCTGTGGGCAGAGGTGTGGGGGGGGAGGGGGTGAAGGGGGGTGGGGCCCGAAGTGAGCGACAGACAGAGCAACAGTGCATTTGAAAGTATCGAGAGGGAATTTGGTGGTGTCGTTTGGATTCAGTCCCCAGCTTACTGATGTCACATGGAGAACAAACCACAAAATTCTTAAATACTAAGAAATCTCGTTGTGAGCCCGGGTGGCGTTGTGTTCACAGGGGATGGAGTTCCTTCCCATGGCTTTGTAACGCTGCACATTGGCTTTGCTCCCGTGACGTCTGCGGTCACACACGGGAGGCAGTTCTCTGATGTCTATGCTTGTCCACGAATCTGTTGACTCTAGATTTACCTTAAGTCTGTTCTCCGCCAGCGTTTCCTCTTTGTTCGTCTCTGGAGGTTATCTGAGTGATAAGATTGCCTGTGGTTAATTACGGTTTTTCTCTAATAACAGATGTATACCTAAAACTGGAAGATGTGACTCATAAGTTTAATAAGCCCTGTATAATGGATGTGAAGATAGGGCGGAAGAGCTATGACCCCTTTGCCTCGTCGGAGAAAATCCAGCAGCAGGTCAGCAAGTACCCTCTGATGGAGGAGATCGGGTTCCTGGTGCTCGGCATGAGGGTAAGAGGGGCTTGGGTAAGGTGTGTGCGCTCCCCTTACACACCACTCGTGAGATGGATGGCAGGTGCTGCCTCAGTGCTGGTAGAGAAGAATGAGGGCCCTGTGCTGGTGGGTCCGTCCATGAGGCCTGTGAGCTACGAAGGGCAGGATTTTTATCTGTCTCTCACTGGTCTGTGGTTCATGACACTGGTCCTGATACCTAGTAGGTCATTCATACACAACGACCAGACCCAAAGATGGGAATGCTGGTGATTTTGTTTTAAAGACGTTTTAAGCTTAAGTGCACAATAAATATAAGAGAAGAACTGTTTTATACTTTTTGTCTTTTTTTGAAACAGGGTATCACTGTGTGGCCCTGACTGCCCTGTAACTTGCTTTGTAGACCAGGCTGGCCTTGAATTTAGAAATTTACCTGCCTCTGCCTCCCAGGTGCTGTGGAAAAGAACTATTTTATAAATAGAAAAAAAAAAAACCCACATTATTTCATAGTTTTATTTAAAACAGTTTTTATTTGCACAAAGTTCTATGATTTAGTATTTAAATTTTTTTACTTTAGCTGATACATAAGAATCTCATATTTATGCTTTGATATGTGAACATTCTGTTCACCTCAGAATAGATACGAGGTTGGCAGCATCTGGTGGCTGGGGCTGCTTGGGTCTCTCGTGGTCTGGACCTTTTGTCCATATGCCATCTGGCAGAAGGTCAACTTGAGCATCTGTGCCCTGGGACCACATTCTGAAGGGCCAGAGCACAAGCCTCAGAGGCAGGAAAGACTTGCTGTCATTCTGTAGGGCTATCACATGGTCGCTTCCCACCTCCGATGTCGCAACACAAATACCAGAATGCGTATGATGGGAAGGAAGGATTATTGAAACCACAGCTGGGAAGTAATGTGGCACATGATCCTCTAAACCAGTAGTGTGTCTAGATGTGCCCGATGATTGCAGCTTGCAAGCACGGTCAAGTGACAGATGAGCTTCCTCCTGGGCATTCAGAGGAAGCTTGGTGGGAGATTACTACCATGCCAGTGACGACAGCAAAGTTAAACCCCATGTTGGACTTGATGTCTTGATCAATAAAGCCGAAGAATTGTTCAAGCGGTTTTTCATTTCAGAAAACTATAATAAACACGAGCCTATAAGAAAAGACAGAAAGAGGCCTGCAGAAGGGCTCGCTGGATCAAGGAGCTTGCTGTGAAAGCGTGACTTGTTTGGTCCCCAGGGCTCACATACAGAGTTCTCTTGGACCCCACACGCACTCTGTGGTCTTTTCTTACCTTCTCTTGGGATGGAGCTCTCAGTCTGAAAGGAGCTTTCTCCTCTGTCCCCTGCCTTTCCTTCCTTCCCAGCTCTCCAAAACCGTCCACTATCGATTCTCTCATTATTTTTCAACTTCTGCCTGTTGTGGGCTTTTGTTGTTGTTTGTTTTGAGAAACCCCATGCTTACCACGCTAGGCTGGTGAGTTGCCGATTGAACTGTCTCCCCTTGAAAACCAAAGCAGTTCCCTTCCTGTGTAAAGTCATTTCACTGCTGTGACATAGCTCTCTGGTTAGTCACAAAATGTCTGCGTCTTCTCTTTTTCCTGTTTAACATATCCTGAGGTCTCAGTGGCTCGTATCATCATACCATAATCGAACACTCACGCTCCTTTTGGTGGCTCCGTGATTTTTTTTTCCAGGCTTTGCGATTATCCACCATGTCACAGTGAGCCATGGGTCTGCCTCACCAGGTCTTAGACCAGTGGTTCTCAACCTTCCTAAAGCTGCAACTCTGTGATACAGTTCCTCATGTTGTGGTGACCCCCAACCATAAAATTATTTTCATGGCTACTTTTTTTTGTTTTGTTTTGTTTTTCAAGACAGGGTTTCTTTCTGTAGACCAGGCTGGCTGGGGCGCAGAGATCCTCCTGCCTCTGCTTCCCCTAAACTGGCGCCGCCACCACCACCCACCTGACTCCAGAATTCAATTTTAGATGGAAATAATAATAAAAGACATTGTAGCAAGAACACATTTTTTTGGAAGCTTTTTTAAAAAATATTTATTTACTATGTATGTAGTGTTCTCTCTGCATGTATGCCTGCATGCCAGAAAGAGGGCATCAGATCTCATTACAGATGGTTGTGAGCCACCCTATAGTTGCTGGCAATTGAACTCAGGACCTCTGGAAGAACAGCTAGTGCTCTTAACCTCTGAGCCATCTCTTCAGCCTTTGTTTTTGTTTTTTGAGGACACCATCTCGTGTAGCTAAGCCTGGCATCTTTGTTGTGTGGGTGAACTCACCTTGAACTTTATCTCATATAAGTGCTGATATTACAGGCGTGTACAACCACACCTGCTTTTTATTGGTGCTGGAGAGTGAGCCCAGGGCTGTTTGCATGCGGGGAGAGGGAGTATCGCTGTTATATTCCAGCTCCTCTCCACTTGAACTTCTATTTCTGTGGCAGAGTTTCATGTAGTCCATTGCTTTAAACTTGCTGTGTAGCCAAGGATGACCTTGAACTCCTAAGCTTCCGCTTCTACTTCCCAAGTGTTGAGGCATGTCTTCCTAACTAAACTCAGCTAAGCTTGTAATATTAAGAAATGCTCTCATTTTGGCCCTGTAAATTTGTGAATAATTTTGATGGATTGAAATAGAGAATTCTGTCATGTTGAAAATCTGTTACTCTTAGCAACTTTTCAGAAGTGGGGCGCCTGAATGCTAGGTGCTCTTTCAGCCCCTGTTCATGTGGCGATATGATTCCCTTCAGGGCTGTATGAGGGATCGTGAAATCACCCCACATGGCCAAGGGCACCCATACTACTGTTTGACTGTTCACTGCTCTTTTATTTTGACAGGTTTATCATGTTCATTCTGACAGCTATGAGACACAAAACCAGCACTATGGAAGAAGCTTAACAAAAGAGACGCTAAAGGAAGGTGAGCACTCACAATGAATGAATGCTTTGCTACTGCAGTCAGCAAGATGGTTCCGATCATATTTGTTTTCATTCTCCTGCGGAACAGTGATTCAACTCATAAACTTTAAGAAAAAAGAAACCTCAATCGACAGATGTAGGTTTACCATTATCCTTGGACCCTAGTATACCCGAGTGTGGGTTGTGAGTGCCCCCATCCTTTTACACTTCAGTTAGTGTCTCACTGGTAAGCTTGCTGGCCCACTCCCTTCCTACTGCTGTGGTAAGGTCTGTCCAGGAAGAAGTCTTTATTCTGGTTCAGTTTCTGTGTGTGGCTTCTTTGCATTGGGCACATCATTGGAGGAGCTGTGGGGAGCAAATGTGTTCTGTTCTCTGATGACCAGGAGGCCGGGAGGCCACTAATGACCTGTGTACTATTAGCCCACCTCTCAAAATCCTCCAGCTGCCACATACCATGTATTCAACATGGGGTCTTCGAGCTCTCACGGAGCTGGCCTGTAGCAGTGCGCACTCCTGAAGTACAAGCCGCTGAACACCATTGTCCACCTCAGCGTCAAAGCTTTCCAATCATATTCTCCTGGGCTGGGTGGCTCATCCCTTTAACCCCAGCAGTTGTGGGATTAAATTCTAGATTAACAAAATGAATTGAGTATAAATTGTATTTAAAGAGCTCATTGTGCAGGAGACTTTCAGGTGTGGTTTTGTGTGGAGTGTCTTTGTATACCTTCCCTCTGTGTAGCTTTGCTGCTTCTAAGGTTATTGATGAATAAGCAGGTGGTATTGGCTTTATAAACAGTTAACACATGTGCTTCTGTAAAATTCTGGTGATCTGGACATTACAAAAGGACATCTGAGCCGGGCGGTGGTGGTGCATGCCTTTAATCCCAGCACTTGGGAGGCAGAGCCAGGCGGATCTCTGTGAGTTCGAGGCCAGCCTGGTCTACAGAGTGAGTTCCAGGAGAGGCACAA